CCTCCCCCCCCCCCCCCCAAAAAAAAAAATCCTTGGGGAGAATATAACCTTTAGCGGCCCTCGGTAGGCCGAACTCATGAACTGTGGCCCTTCCTGGGCTTGACTTGGGGACTGGAGCCCTTCTTGGGCTGGACGTGGGAACTGCAGCCCTCCTTGGGCTGGACATGGGGACTGGAGCCCTCCTTGGGTTAGACTCAGGGACTGGAATCCTCTCTGGGCTAAACTCGGGGACGGGAACCCTCTCTAGGCTAAACTCGGGGACGGGAACCCTCTCTGGGCTAAACTCGGGGACGGGAGCCCTAACTGGGCTAGACTCGGGGACAGGAGCCCTCACTGGGCTGTAATTCATTGTTTGTGTGTAAACTACCCGTTTAAATAATTAGTTATTGAGGCTGACCAGACTGCAGTGGAGAGTTTTCCAGTTGAGATTGTGCAGATTGATTTGGGACTGATGTCTGGTTAATGTTACGCTGCTGATCTATAACAGAAACAAAGGGCATTATGGTCACTTAAGAGTATATGCAGTGACTGTCTTTGATATTTAGATTTTTTCATGAGCATTTATTCAGAAACTGTACCTTTCATTTGTTGCTGTTCAATTGTATTAATCATACAAAATGTTATGAACTGCGCCACACATTTGTTCTTCTTGTATCTCCACAGCAGCACCAGTGAGAGGAAGAACAACAGGCAAACACTCAATCCCACAACCACACCAGTGACCAGAAGAGAAGATGAAGCTGCTGAGACCGGAGAACATGATAAGATCTGTTCATTAGTGACGATGTATGATAAAATTACAAACATATATAAAATCACTCATCATTTCCAGACCTCTGACTGAGATCCAGCTGTGCAGTGACTGTCCTCTCTCTGTTTTACAGTAGTAGAAACCCTTATGTGACTTTGAGACAGTTGTGATGTTCATCTCTCCTGTCGTCTGATTCTGGAAGAGTGATCCGTCTTTATAGAAATCAGCTCTGAGGATCGGGGAGTTTGTAGATCGATGTAAACAGTGTAGAGTCAGAGTATCTCCCTCAATCACAGGATCAACAGAACTCAGCAGAATCACATCACCATCTACACAACACAAGAAATGTGTGCTTACTGCTGATGTATCAAAACAATTAATAGGCAAAAATGCTGATATTATGAACTAAATTGTACTTTTTTGCTTCCTGTACTTTTTGTAAAAGTTTAGTGTAGTCCAACCTGATCTCACAAGAAAATTATTAGGTGGCAAATTCATATGAATTTGTTCAATGCAAACTGTATGGAAGTGTGCGATTTTTTAATAGAAAGTAAACATGAAGGTCAATGGGGCATAAAATAATTTTATAAAAATATACAAATGAGATCGTAAAAATTCATATGAATTAGCCACCAATTTGCCAAAATGTAAATTAGTTACAAATTGCCATAGGAGTGTCTTGTGAAGACAAACGTTTAACAGCTGCCATGAAACTGAGTTCACTTTGCCGCTTAATATGGCCAAAAACTTTTCTCCCTATTCAATTTAGATGGGAAGAAAATGTGGAAAGGTAAATTTAAGAAAACTATTAGAGGAAAATGTGTGTAGACTTTGTCATTGGAATGTAGATTATAAAGTGTCTAGCTGTTGTGATTAGAAACAGGACTCACTGTGAACAGTGATGTTTAGAGGATGACGTTTCTCTCCGGATTCAGACTGACACCAGTAAACTCCAGTGTCAGATGTGTTGAGGGAGTCGATTCGACATGTAGATCCTGTTAATTTTGAACAATCTTCTGTGTTTCTGTCTGTGTATCTTCTCACTGACCATCCAGTAGAGTTACTCTGATCCTCACAGCTCAGAGAGAGAGAGTCAGATGAGAAGTGTTGACTTCTGCTGGGACTGACCACCAGAGACACTGAAGCAGAGACACCTGAAAAGAGGAAACTCACACTCAAAATTGACAGCACATATGTTTGTATAATAAAGTCTGTATTTAAATAAAATGAAGATGATTTAGCACCAAAGTTTAAAATAAGAAGGATCTTATGCATATATTATAATTGTATTTGATAGTGCTTTTGTTCTGGTTTAGATTGCATATAATTGGAGGGAAGTTTTTGGAGGTTTGCATTGGTTTCAGATGGTTTTGTCCCCTTGTGTCAGAGATTTGTAATAAAACACAAATACGGATGAGCACAAGCATAAGTACTGTTACACAGACTCACCAGTGATCCACAGTGGCTGTGTGTTACTGTACTTTGTGTAATAGGCTGATTATAATTGTATTTGATAGTGCTTTTGTTCTGGTTTAGATTGCATATAATTGGAGGGAAGTTTTTGGAGGTTTGCATTGGTTTCAGATGGTTTTGTCCCCTTGTGTCAGAGATTTGTAATAAAACACAAATACGGATGAGCACAAGCATAAGTACTGTTACACAGACTCACGAGTGATCCACAGTGGCTGTGTGTTACTGTTCTTTGAGTAATAGGCCGGTCGTCCTCTCTCTGCTCTGCACGTATAAACTCCTGTGTGCTGTAGAGCAGCAGGACTGAGAGTGTAAGAGCCTCCAGCTCCTCTGCTGCTGTCGGACAGATGATCATCATCTCTGAACCAGCTGAACGTCCAGCCTGTAGAGGAGCCTGTAACCTCACAGATCAGAGTCACTGAGTCTCCTTCATTCAGCCACGGCTGTGGAGACACTCGCACTGCTGCCTGAGCTTCAGCTGAACAAAACATGAGGAGTTATAGAGCCACAGAGAGACTGAGACAGAAGCTGTGCACACTGATAATAATGAACAAACACACAAACTCACCTGATACAGTAAGTGTAACAGCGTCACTGTGCTGAGAGATTTGTGTTCCCATCTGTCCTGTGCAGGTGTATTTACCGCTGTGAAAGTGATCAACACTCCTGATGTTCAACTCTTGTGTTGAGGTTCGGCCAACAGAGTTTGTATATTGGTAGTTTGTTCCCTCTATTTCCCATCTATATGTCCACTCGGTGTCTTCTCCACACTTTATATCACATTTGAGAGTGACTGTTTCTCCTCTGAACACTTGTTCATCAGGCCGTACCGTCACCACAGCTTTTGAACTCACTGTACAAACAGATTATTGCATTTATTTGTAGGTTTTGTTCTGTATATTGTCTCTGATCTGTATTTTGCGTCACATTATATGTTCTCGCTCGCCTGTAACATTTACCCACAGTGCATCACTATATTGTGTGTAGTAGGCTAGAGACGGAATGCTCTTACAAGAAACTCACTAGGACGCAGCACGCCCCCTACTCGGCGCATATTAATCCCTATCTTTGCCGAAGAAAGAGGTTATAGCACGGACAGCAAAATGCTACCCATTTCCGAAGCGTCAAGTTCCCCGCCCCAGAGTGACGTTGGACCCTGAGCCTCAGAAGCCATCCTGATCCAAATGCAGAGAGGAAGAGAAGAGGGTCAGTTCTCGTGAGGCCGGAACGCCCTCAAAGAAAGCTTGCATTCGCTCTCCATCCCTCTACTTAACATTGAGCGATGGAAGCCCCATTCAAGCTGGGTCCATCCTTCCCATTCAGTGTGCGCCCAAGCAAACTACCGCTGTGATAGTGGACCCACATGCTCAAAAGAGCATTTCTCCTCTCCTCATTACCATCGATGTCAGTTCCCCGCCTCCGTGCGGCAAACTACCATTCAAAAAATTAGAATCACTCGCCCTTCTGTTTCAGGCTTGGAAAGCTAGAATTGTCAAGTTGGGTTCTAAAAACCATAAAACGAGGTTACTCGCTTCAGTTCGCTCACAGGCCACCTCGCTTCAGAGATATTATTCAGACTTCAGTGTGGGACAATGATGCTCATGCTCTCTGGTCCAAAGTACAGACACTTGCTTGCAAATGGAGCTGTGGAAGCGCTTCCTTTAGTGAGGAGCGAGTCAGGCATCTGAATCGCTCGCTTATGAGACGGCCGTTCAAGAAGCAAACTTAGAAACAGATCCACGCACAAATATGTCCCAAGGACTGGTTTATTTCAGTGGATCTGAAAGATGCTTACGTTTACATCCAGATAGCCCCCCATCACACATCACATTATTTTACGAAGTGCATAGACACGGCTATTTCTCCTCTGAGACATATGGGAATCCGCATTCTGAACTACCTTGACAATTGGCTGGTTTTAGACAGGTCAGAACAGGAACTCGTCCCACACAGGTCGCTACTGCTCAGTCACCTGGAGTGCCTTGGGTTGAGAATCAATTTAGCCAAGAGCTCTTTGTGTCTCAGCCAGTGGTCTTTCTGGCGACAGTTATCAATTCTGCCAGGACGTGTGCGTGGATTGCGCTGAAATGCTCCCTGACTGTTCAGTGGCTAGCGGAATCATTCAAATTGGGTACTTTACATTCCCTCAGGGCTTTTCAGAGGATGCTGCATCAGAGCTGTGGCCCCTTGGAAAACCTCTCACCTGTCTCGAGATGATGTTTATTTTTTATTTTTTTCAGCCCTAAAAAAAATTCCTGCTGGCCTTAATGGGGCACCACGTCCTGGTCCGTTCAGACAATATGACAGTGGTAGCTTTTATCAATCACCAAGGCGGTGTCAGGTCATGCTCCGTTCACATGTTGCCTCGACACCTCCTTTTTATGGGCACAAGACAGACTCCTCTTACTTAGAGTAGTTCATGTGCCGGGTAGACTGAACCAAGGGGCAGGCATGCTGTCCAGGACCAAGGTAGCTCCAGGAGAATGGAGACTACATCCCCAAATGGTTTAAATGATTTGGACTGTCTTCGGGAGGGCCGAGGTGGACCTCTTCGCCTCAGAAGACAACTTTCACAGCCCAATCTACTTTTCAAAACCGACAATTGGCCCAGCCTGTATGCTTTCTCCCCGGTTGCCCTGATTCCTCAGGTCATTCAATTCAATTAAATTCAAGTTTATTTGTATAGCGCTTTTCACGATACAAATCGTTGCAAAGCAACTTTACAGCAAATTAAGTTTCTACAATATTTACAAGTAGCTTATCAGTGGTGACTGTCAGTTAATGTACATATGGCAGAAATGTATGGACAAATCAATTAAATATGTAATCAAACAGACGGTGAACACTATTAACAGCAATTAGTATATGATGCAATCAAAGTTATAGCAAAATTTGGAAGTTATGTATGTTGTTTCAGGGTTGGCATCATCTGAGGTCCTCTGAGGGGTTGGCATCATCTCTTCTCAGGTGTTCTCGATCCAGACTGAAGCTTGTGTAAATCCTTATGTAAATCCTGTGGCAAAAGCAGAGAAACAAATAGAGACATAATTAGCTTAGCTGCTGTTCCAACCAAGCAAAATTGATTTGTTTAACCCAAACTAAAGAATAATAATGTGCATTTGATCAGTGCTACGCACAGGTCAAGTACCTGGTGAGACGCAGGAGGAGCCCGGCCCGGAGTCACCCCACAGTGCCCAGACCCTCCACGCACCACTAGATCGTTTCCAAGCCAGGCTTTCAGAACAGCGTCAGGTTAAGTGGCCCGCCGCTAATAAGGAAAATGAGTGGCACCAGTTTGATGAGGATGTGGACAAGATTCTCCAAGTAACAGCTAGAGGGGATGCTGACCGGAGACTGCAAACATTGTGCTTAATAACTATCAACATAGCTGCTGAAAGATTTGGCCTGAAGGAGTAGCGTCCATCTAGTGGTACTTCGGGACCTAATCGTAGGCAGGAGAAGATCCGACAGTTGCGGCAGGAGCTCCGTGTGCTTAGAAGGCAGTTTAAGCAGGCAAATGAGGAGGATAAAGATGCCCTGGCTGAGCTCCGGAACATCGTAAGGAGAAAGCTCACTACCACTCGTCGAGCTGAGTGGCACAGAAAGAGGGGCAAGGAGAGGGCACGCAGACGGGCAGAGTTTGTCACAAATCCTTTCGGATTCACCAGGAGACTCCTCGGGCAGAAGCGTAGCGGTCGACTCACCTGCACTCAAGATGAGGTTGATAAGTACCTCAGCACCAATTACAGCGATAGAACAAGAGATCAGGAACTTGGACCGTGTAGCACGTTGATAACCCCACCGGAACCCAGTGTGGATTTTAACCTCAAGGACCCAACCTTGAGAGAAGTTCAGGAGGTTGTCAAAGCAGCTAGGACAAACTCAGCACCAGGTCCAAGTGGAGTGCCCTACGCGGTCTACAAGAGGTGTCCCAAACTCCTTCAGCGCCTATGGAAAATCATCAAAGTCATCTGGAGGAGGGGAAAAGTGGCGCTGCAGTGGAGACATGCAGAGGGTGTATGGATTCCGAAGGAGGAGAACTCAAATAACATCGAGCAGTTCAGGGTCATCTCATTCCTCAGAGTGGAGGGGAAGATATTTTTCAGTATCGTTGCCCGACGCATGACAGAGTTTCTTCTGCAGAATAAATACATTGACACTGCTGTTCAGAAAGGCGGGATCCCGAAAGTGCCAGGCTGTATGGAGCACACAGGAGTTGTCACCCAGCTAATCCGGGAGGGTCGAGAAGGTGACGGGGACCTGGCATTGCTGTGGCTTGACCTTGCCATGGGTCAATCCCGCACAAGCTGGTGGAAACCTCACTGATCCGACATCATGTTCCAGATAGAATCAGGGATCTCATTTTGAATTATTACAGCTGCTTTAAATTGAGAGTGACCTCTGGATCAATAACATCAGCATTTCATAGGCTGGAGAAAGGAATTATCACAGGGTGCACTATCTCAGTGATCTTGTTCGCTTTAGCTATGAATATGCTAATTAAGTCAGCAGAGGTGGAATGCAGAGGCCCACTAACCCGGTCAGGTGTGCGACAGCCTCCTATCAGAGCTTTTATGGACGATCTGACGGTAATCACAACATCCGTACCAGGCTGCAGATGGATCCTCCAAGGCCTCAACAACACACTTAGGGACACAGCCACCCTCCGTGAAACTGGGAAGGAGTTGCACACCTGGATTGCTGCAGTGGACAAGTCAGGGCTGCCAGGAAAGTTCAAAGCCTGGATTTACCAGCATGGCATTTTGCCGCGACTCCTCTGGCCACTGCTGGTCTACGATGTCCCCCTAACCACTGTTGAGGACTTCGAGAGGAAGATCAGCCACTCTCTACTTAGGTGGTTGGGTCTCCCGCGTAGTATTACCAGCATAGCCTTATACGGAAGGAAGAACAAGTTACAACTGACAGGTGAATGCCGTAACAGGGGATGGAAGACCCGCTGCCTCCCCATTGAGGTTGGCTGCCGAGGGTTTGCCGGCCAGTCATTGTGCGGGGCCCTCAAGCTCTTGGGAATCAGGGGACTGCACAAGAATAAAGCCATCAGGAACATCACGGATGCCGCGGAGAAGGGACCAAGATGGCTGTGGATCAAAAGGGGCGATCCGTGGACTACACAAGCTACCTAGACACAAGTCGGGAACTGATCACCCCTGGCTGGGTCACCTGGGCGAGGGTGTATGATGTTGAAAGACCCGAAACACCTGATGACCCCAGGTAAACATCACTGATGATGTGTCTAGGGTGCACCTGGAAGGTGTATGTCAAATTAAAATTAAGTGATACGGAAGTTAATAGAACTGTAGAGGAAGTAACAGTACATCCATCTAGTTGCAAATTGTAATCCAAGAGATTCTGTGTAGTGATTTTGGTCCAATAAGTAATATATCTGTCTTATCCGAATTTAATAGGATAAAATGATTGGTCATCCAATCTTTTATATTTTTAACACTATAGCTGGACATACTGTTTTTTCACGCAATTCTAAAAACTTCCAAGTTAGTTTTTCTCAATTTGCGCTCAAGAATACGAGTTTCTTTCTTGAGAGAATGGGTATTACTGTTGTGCCATGCCACAGTATGTTTTTCTCTAACCTTTTTCAATTTGATGGGGGCAACAGCTTCTATTGTATTACAGAAGATAGTGCCCATGTTGCTAGTCATGTCGTCTAGTTCATGTGTATTTATGGGTACACAGAGCAGTTGAGATAAATCAGGCAGGTTATTTGTGAATCTG